CGACCCTTTTTCATTTTTGATTGTTTGTTATGTGGATTTGTAGTATTTGTGTTACTGTATGTTCAATAAAGGTGTATTTTTGCTAAGTCTTGAGACATTGCCCCGGACCCCCCTAGAGGATGTGACGTCCACCCCCCAATTCAAACATGTTCATACAATACTGAATACATTTGAAGCCATTTTGACGTCTATTACCTATGTCAATAAGTTTCTGTTTTTGCAGTGTATTTGTCTTTTGTAGAGATTTTTCATTTATTCTTTACATGTAAAATCTCGTCTAAAATCTCACCTAGGGCAGCAAATTCTCTAGAACCGGCCCTGGTACTAGGCCTCAAGAGCCTTTCTTGTGCTGACACATAGAAACAAATTTGCGGGGCGCACTTCGCACGCGCACACACTAAACAATTCCACGCGCTCCGCGCTCACATTATGCTGGGCCCACGTGCCTTAGCACCGCTGCTATGAATCCATCCCATGGGAAACACTGAACGCCATTGTAAAACATAATCACTGATGTTCTGCTGTAACGGTGGTGGACTCATCAGAACAGAGTGGGCAAGCTGACCAATCAGAGCACACTTGGCTCACAGGGAGGGGGGGTGGGGCAGGAGCTCCAACAAGCCGTTTAGGACAGAGAGTGAATACACATACTATACAGAGATGCTGTATGAGAAACCAATGTGAGTTTGGAAAATTGAACAATATAAATCTATTCTAGTAGACCTCAACAATGGAATTATGATCTGTAGAAATGGCCATGACATGGGACCTTTAAAGTCATACTTCAATCTTTTCTGCAGTGATAAAATTAACTTCCTCTTCTTCATGTTATGTGTAGAGAAAGAGGAAATGAGTTTCTTGTCACACTTTCACATGGGAAGATAATATTGTTGTTTTTCTCGCACTGTTGATTACAGCATCCCCTGGTGGGAAGAAACTAACTGACTAGGATTTCACATTTCAGGCCCAGTACAACTCCAGCAGTGATGTGAAAAAGGAAATCAAAGTCATATTTGAGTAGGATATATTAAATAACTGTCAGCTACAACGTAAATAAAACTTAATAAATAATAAGGTAATGAGACTTTTCTTTAAAAGTACAGATTACATTCAAAAGTTGTCTTAAAGAACGTAAAGATTAATAAAAATACATCAGTTGGAAAACAAGAAAATGGTTCAACTTGATGCAACTGTAATAAATATTTAAAAGGAAGCAAATAATAGGCGTAGTTTTTTAAATTATAAGCAACTAAATATCTAAATGTGGAATTTAGTTACAAATATATCTGAAGTTTAGCGTCAACTACAGTTTCAGCTCTGAAATATTTTACTTTGTAAGCATGTTTTTTGATTTGATGTCGACACGTGCATGTGTGTGAACATCGTACCTGGGTATGTGTGCGTTAGCCAGCCGCAGCTTCAGCATGGACAGCGTGCGTCCGTTAGTGCAGTGCGGCCTGCTGGGAGATGCGGTCTCCTGTGGCGTGAGGCTTCCTTCCTTCCTTCCCTGCGATGCGTCCTTCTCCTTCGCTCCCTGGGTCAGCTTGGCCCGCCCCTTGTGTTCGGCCAGCAGGACGTCAAAGTGTTTCCCTCGGCCTGAGACGGCTCTGCGGTGCGTGAGGGAGTGAGTCTGTGGACACACACACAGAGAGGTTCTTTTCATACCTGGTGTTTAATAAACACCGACAACAGATTTCACCTTATTTCCACTGAGACTTTGGTAATGAAAGAAACTGATCTGAGGGGCTCGTATCATGGCTCTTTCCATAATCTCCTCACCATGCTGTTGCCCATGTCACGCAGGACTAGCTCGGGTAAATACGGTCGGTGCGTGGCGAGCCTGTCCGCCCTTCCAACTAATTTGGAAAGCAACCAGCTAACAAACATTTGGTTTTCCAGCGGTGCTCCAAAGGATGTGTGTGTGGATGGTGACATACTGGTTTAAACGGGTAGTTTCTTTGCTTTTGAAAGACATTTGTGTTCCTGTACTCACTCTAAGACAATATTGAGGCGTCTTGAAATGCCTTAAGACCTAACAAGTGCATCTAATACCTTCAGAAATATTCCAAATAACAATCTTTGATCCATTTAGCAGCTGCTCGGGAGAAATATACCTTTAAAACACATTTAATCTGAGATCAAACGGTAACAGGTGTTTTTTTAGTGCTGTCAATCGATCATGATTAATCAGTTACTAGTGTTTGCTAGTTTTTAGGGGAGAGATAAAACAAATACACGTGTGATCTTGTAATAAAGAAATGGATGATAAACTGGTAAGAGAAATCCATGTTTTTGTTTTACAATATAATAACATGAAATCTGAATTCTTGGTATGAAGTCTGACACTTGAAAGATGAAGCACAGAAGCTTCTTAAAAAGGGAAACTTCTATATTTTTCACCTGGACCGTATTTTCCATTTTGCCTGCTACGGTCTCTTTCACTTAATAATGGACCTATAATTAAAAAATGTACATAAACTACTTGGATATTATTTGAGATTACATTCATGAATAAGGGAAAAAAGACAAATCGATGAAGAAATAAGATACGATGAGATTAAAGAAGTACATTTAGGGAAAAAACCTCAGAAATTAGCAAGAAAATAAAAAATGTCTTGCTGTTTTTCTTTTAAATTGCAAATACATCTGATTAATCCCAGAGATGTATTCGTCTCCATTTGACACAAAACACAGGAAATGATAGTCCAGGTTGAACCAAAGTTTCCTTTTAAGACAGATTTAAGACACTCCTAGCCTCATAGGAGTAGTTAGGAGTAACTCCCTAATCTAAAATCATTTGTAAGAGCAGTTAAAGTTACAATCCTTTTGGGGAACACCACTTAAGCTTTGGAAGGTTCATAAAATATATCAAACGATCATGTCAACATAAAGACTCTTTCGGGAAATAGGTCCCTTTCGTTGAATTGTGATCTAAGTGTAAATAAAGACGGCAACGATAAAATACAAACAACAATTAAGAAAACGTGATTATTCTCAGCAGCCACTCTGAGAGAAGATATCCTCACACTACCCCGACACACCTCTAATGACTTAATAACCCGTTTAAAGTGATTAGTCGAGCTTGCTTGCTCGCTAGGAGTAATTAAAGGGCCGTAAAAAGAGTGTTTTATAGCTGGAAGATGTTGTAGCCTCATCCGACATCTATAATTACCACATCAGGGGGAGTGTGGGCCCTGTTAGGCCTCAGCACCCTGAATTAACTGAGACACTGACAGGGTCATATCTGCGTGTGTGTGTGTGTGTGTGTGTGGGGGGGGGGTCCTAATGGAGAAGGGATGATAGTAGATCCTTTAATATTTTTACCCTCATAAATAAACAAAGCTTTTTTCCTGGTCACATGGTCTTAGACAGGAAGCAGTCAGAAATGTGTATTTATAGTAGTGTTGCACCGATACTTGAAAGGGACCGCGATACCCTGCCGTTAAAAACGTTACGATTCCTCCGTTTCATTTGTATCGGTACTTTAAAGATGACGGGGGAAAGTACTCTGGTGAGAAAGCGCAGTTTTAATAAGAGCCGTGTGTGTTCAGCGCTCTGCTTCCTTCCACTCCCTGCACTGCAGCCGTGCCTGCAGTCCCTCCCCTCTCAAGCACGCTCTAAGCCCCTCCCCTCTCTCGTGCACGCGCTAGCTGCCAGAGCATGTGAGAAAGCGAGAAGCATGGCTGCACGGCTTGTTGACAAAAAAAACTCCAGAAGCGAAAAACAAAAAAGTTGTTTATAGATGATGCTTAATTGTATTTAATACAAATTCTAGTCGTTTATTTTATTTATTGTTCTCATTGTTTAAAAGTTTGTGTTATGGTTCTGGTGTGAAATAAAGCACAATAATTACATTTAAGACTGTTTCCCTTTTTTTTAAGAAAAGTATCAAAAAAGAATCGGAATCGCAATTCTTGACTTGGTATCGAAACCAAAATGTTGGTATCGTGACAACACTAATGTGTATATATGTGTATGCGTGGGTGCGTGTGTGTTACCTTGCAGGTGAGAGACCGGGTGCAGGGTCGCTTAGTCTCAGGATCCTGGACTCCACAGTGTTTGTTAGGATCAAAAACTCTGCCTGTAAAACACACACATCATTTCATTTGAATGTTATTAACATTTTTTTTTTGTTTTGTATTTTTTTTTTTTAAGTATCTTAGGAAAACTGTTGAACTGAATATAAAAGACAGGAAAAAGGATTGTAGTTGTCCATGCTTCCTCTGTTGCCCTCAAGCCTCTCAGGTTCGGGCAAACTTTGAATACAGGCCAAAAAAAACCTGAAGAACTCGACAATCTTAAAATATTATTTAAGTGATGATATTATTCACTTATTGCAGGTAAAAAACGACACGAAAAAACGTTGACTGTCTGATTAAGCAGCGAATCTACATATTGCGATGCAGCAGATGGCAGGATGCAACTTGAAAAGACGTTTGCATTCGGCAATAAGGAAGAACACAAGCTGAGACTAACATTTTCAGAGGATAACAAATCAACATGTTTGCAATTCTAATATATTATCTGATATGTGATTAACTTTAAAAAAACATTTGAAATTCGATGTTTTTGTTGTTAACATATTGATGCCAGAAAGGTTGGGATAGGTCAGAGCTTAGGCATATACAATCATCCATCTTTGCTCACTACTTCCTAGTCCTCAGGTGTGCATAAACTACAGGTTATGAGCGTCTTTAGAAAATTGAAACATTGTGAAATGATCATTTATCTGGTAAAAGAAGCAGGTAATTACAGGAACAGGCTAAACAAATACCATGTCTTTACTAAAAGCCATCATTGAGTCATTTCTTGTCTCCCTCTTTCCAGAATCAAATCACATGATCTGGTAGTAGGAGCCTCACTGTACCGAGTGCTTCAATTAGTCTCTCCTGAAAAATGTGTCAATAAGACCTTCCTTTTTGATAAAGCTTATAGTTAGGGCTGATTAGATTCAGCCCCTAGTTTTGCTGCTATAGGCTTAGACTGTCGGGGGACACCTTACTTCTTCCTTCTCTCAGTGTGTACCTGTGTACTCTCATGGTCCGAATAACCCAGCTTCCCCCAAATGTCTTTTTGGTGTCTATCTACGCCGGGATCCTGAGTCGTGGCTGAACCTGTCACTGTGGTCCTGCCTGACTTTCATCATACTACTTCCCTGATGGCTCCCACAGGATTGTTGACATCCTCGTGGATTCATCTTCTTATTACAGACAAGCATTTCCAAACATTTGGTCTACCTATGTTGTAAAATGTATTATCTCTTCAATTTACACACAGCATCTATTGCACGTCTGTCCGTCCTGGGAGAGGGATCCCTCCTCTGTTGCTCTCCCTGAGGTTTCTCCCATGTTCCCCTTTAAACTGTGGGGTTTTCTCCGGAAGTGTTTCCTTGTACGATGTGAGGGTCTAAGGACAGAGGGTCTAAGGACAGAGGGTGTCGTATTGTCATACTTAGGGATGGTTACCGAGCCCCGGTATTAAACGGGCCCCGGGGCTGAATTATTATTATTATTATTAAAGAACATGCAAAAAGACTGCAAAATGCATCTATGATTATTTTAGTATCGATTTCTCTCCCGTCTGTGTGTGAGGGGGCGGGGCAGTTTACGCACACGCAGCTGCTACATGCAGCAACACACACACGGAGGATATGGCGGAGAGAACGCGCTCCGAGGTGTGGTTAAACTTTACCCGTCTCGATGCTCGTTGCCTAAAGTACAATAAGAGTTTAGCATGTCAGGGCGGTAACACGAGCAATTTGTCTAAACATTTAGCAAAAGTGCTCCACATCCAGACGGAGAAATGCACCGTCTTTCTAGTAGCTCTTTAGCTCCATCCACGAGTAACGTTTCCACGTCAGGTGTTATGTATGCTAGCAGCAACACACAGAGTTAACTCAATTATACAAACATGGGTTAATGATTACTAGTGAGGTAAACTGAGGTTATCTTAGTTTGTTAACAATGTCAAGCTCTTCTGTTTACAGTTCGTGTCCTTCAGATTATTTATTACCATTTGTTTAAAACACTGTTGTTTTCTTTTTTGATGTGAAATATTATGTATTTATTTAAATGAAAAGCGCAATGTTAGTTTTGTTCACAATTTTGTTTAGTTAGCTTACCTAATTTTTTCTCCAAAAGGACCGTTAAAGATCGGCACCGAAAGCGGTATTCGATAAAAAGGTAGTAAGTTACCGTTAAACCTTAACGATACATCTGCCTTAGTCATACTGCATACTGTCTGTAACAAACTGATGAAGTCCATTGAGACAAAGGTAACTAACATTTTGTTGATATTGGGCTATATAAAGAACGATGAATGATTGAATTCAACATTTTTCTTTGTTTATTCAAATGATCTAAGACTTTTTCCTAGTCTAGTGATTTTAATTGTCGTTTCTACCGCAAATTCAAACAGACTAAGAGCCAGTGAAAAACGACCCTGTAGGAATCCTTGCCTCCAGTTTTTGCTGCTTACACGCTTTCTCATAACCGCTCATCCAACAACTTCACACTGAGATTCTTGGAGTCGTCAGCAATTCACCCGCATAGTGTTCAGTGGACCGGATGATCGTTTACGGACAAAACTGAAGGACATAGTCATATGTTACTCAGAGACACTCTTTGCCCTCTTAGTGTGAAGTGCACAGAACCCGCAAGCTGTGATGAGATGGTTGTGTGACAGGACGTACTGGCAGCCGGACAGCGAGTCAACGTGACGGACAGACACAGGAAGCTCCCTTTTTTAAATTGTCTCCACCTAAAAAACATTAGCCAGAATTCGTGCCTTTCACTCTCTGACTCTGTGGCCAGAACTCTCGTACACGCCTTCATTACATTCCCGTCTTTGCTATTGCAATGAGTCCTGTCCGGGGTTCCCAGCAAACACCCTGGGATAGGCTCCAATACGTCCAGAAACTCTGCGCCAGGCTTCTCACCCGCAGCCAAGCCATGGCACGCATATCACCCCCAACCTCATCCCACCTCCCACTGGCCTGCCGGGTCAAGTCCGATTCAGAATTACAAACACTGCCTCCGTCACGTACAAGTCCCTCCATACCCCGGGCCCCCCTAGTACTATCGGACCTCCTCCATCCGTTCACCCCTTCTCGGAGTCTGCGGTCCTCAGACACGGGCCTGCTCTCCATCCCCCGCTCTCGCCTCCGAACTGTTGCTGACAGGACGTTCAGTGTTGCGGCCCCCACCCTCTGGAATGCACTCCCTGCCAAGATCCGTAATGCTGCCTCCCTGGACATCTTCAAATCATCATTAAAAACACACCTGTTCACCCTGGCCTTCGGGCCCTAGGACTTTTCTGGTCCCCCGGCTTCCTTTATTTATTTATTTGGTTTGCCCGTTGATTGTTTTGTTTGACCACCATGTACAGCGACCTTGGGTCCCTTGAAAGGCGCTATATAAATATCATTTATTATTATTATTATTATTATTATTAATGAACAGAAAACGCACTTTGATGATGAAATGTAGCCCTTAACTTTAGGACTGTTGTCAGTTTAACGCAAACTTCTCTGGTGTTTATTGACTCTTTCTAAGACAAATGAAGCTCAGCGTAAGTTCAACCAGGAAGACCGTCTATTCACTATTCCTACGTAACTACTCTCTCCTCTCAATAAGTGATCGGGGGCGTCACTCTCCAGCTTAACCAATCACTTCGCTCTATTCCCAAGAGCCTATCAAAGCGCTCTGCCAAACCTTTTAAATCTGCTCTCCCCTCTGTCAGCTGTCATTTCAGGTGACTTGACGCAACCCTCCTCCACCCCTTTTCACCACCTGTCCCTCTGAATCCAGGGTCAAGCTAAGCACCTCCCCTTCAGACAGACCCAACCATCTATTCACCACCACCAGTGTCTAGACCCCAGGGGGGTTTCATCGGATCGGTTCTACCCTCCCGAATGATACTTCCTGCACAACGGGGCCTAATCGCCAAAATCACCATTACATTCATTTGTGTATCTCAATACAATAAATATGTATTCTTACATCAAAACCATCTCTCCTGATTGAAACATGTTTAGAAAATCCTCAGAGGTTACAGAAGTAAAAGTAAGATTATTATGGAACATTCTTACAATGGATTTTCTCAGTCATGAACACTATTTTCTGCCAAAGTTAAAGATGGAGTTTTGGTTATTTCACAAAATAGATTGTGATCCATGTGCAGGATTCAGTGGATTGTCTGTCAATCAAATCTGATCAAAACTAAACCGCACCGTGATATGTAAGGCAGGTCAAAGTTGATCCATGAAGTAGCTTTACCAAGTGTTTACAACCAACTCATTTTGAACATGTTTGAACCAAATCATTGATTAAAGGGGGCCATATTTTGCTTTTTGGAGTTTTCCCTTTCCTGAAGTTTGGGTTTTTGTGCATGTAAATGGTCTTCAAGGGCTAAAATCCTAAAGTTCCCTAGAGGGAGTTTCTCTCCCACACAAAGGTACACAATATGAACCTGAAAATGAGGATAATAGCCGCGTTCACACCGCAGTACTTTTCCCACTTTAGTTCCGATATAGTTCCGAAATGTCGCATTCATACCAAAAAGAGCTAGAACTAAAATGAGTTCATGAGAACCTTTTTACCCCCTTTTTTTTCCCTGCTAGAGAGCAGGGACTTTCGTGGGAGAAAAAGGTTCCTGTGTCTGATTGGCTGGGCGGAATGCAAACCACGCCCCGTAAAACTCCCAAAAAGTTTTGTGAAGCCGCCATTTTATTATCCTCGCATTAGCATTATTAGCATTAGCATTAGCCCCGCGCACAAACGCAGAGAGACTAACTTATGGCAACACAAAAGAAAACATGGGAGCGGTGGAGATGAGGAGGTGTCGNCAACCAGCAAGCGTGCACTTCAAAAGTGCTTTACAACCTGACACATTAAAAGCCATTAGGATTAGATTTTGAAAACAGTTCGCAAATATAAGGGCACAAGAAATTTGTATATTAAGCCTAATATTAGATATCTAGTTTCAGCTACAGTGTGAATGATGTGTATCGAATAGTCGATTTATTTAATGTATACTAAAAGACAGCATAAAGAAAATTACATTTCTACATTAATATATATATTAATTAATTGGGACGACCGAGTTCAATGAAACTTACTAAACACAAAATCTGATACGCTCAAGACAAGTTACGTCGCTGAATTCCAACATGTTAGACGCGTAACTTAAAAGTGTAAAACTGTAAAATACTATTAATTAGAAAAAGTAACTGATACTTGCACTCAAGTAGGTCATTATCCTCGCATTGCATTATTAGCATTAGCATTAGCCCTGCGCACAAACGCAGAGAGACTAACTTATGGCAACACAAAAGAAAACATGGGAGCGGTGGAGATGAGGAGGTGTTCTGGAGGTGTTCTGGCGATTTACTCGGAAGGCTTCAGTAGAAGCTGCTGGGAGTCCCAGCAGCTTCTACTGAAGCCAGTCCCCAACTCCGGGGACTTCGGGGGGCAGTATATGCGGTGAAATTGTTTGCGGCCTGCCAGTAAACCCAAAGCAGAAGAAGAAGAAGTGACGTCAGCGGCTTCATTTGCCTAATCCTCACTCAGGGACTTATTCCGGTGTGAACGCGATCTGTACTTAGTTCATGAGAACTAAAGAGTTCTCATGAACTAAGTTCTGATGAACCTTTGTGGGAAAAGTACTGCGGTGTGAACGCGCCTAATATGTCCTCTTTAAAACACGTTGATTGTTTCAATTGACTTTTTAGTCCTTTTCTTTCAGCAGTGAAGATATCGTACAAATAGCTGAATACAAGAGTGACAGACTCAAAATACAAAACGAAATTAAAGCATAAAAAGCTTCAAAATTAACTACAATTAATATCACTACAATTAATATCACTATGTTGTTTTGTGAGTTTTTTAAGCTGATACCAACAGCTTTTGGTAGACCTTTGTTGCCCGACACTAACTATCGACAGCCTCCAGTCAGCAGGTTATCTTGAACGTGTCACTGTCAGTGTAATCTAGTGCAGGCCTTTGCTATAATCCCTGTAATCTCTCTGTGACAACTCCGATGCATGCGGGTTGACAGACTGCTAATTTGCAGGAACAAACACTCAGACGTAAACAAACTCACATGCTGCTCGCTAACAGATTTACAAACACTTGAGAAGGAACAAGAGAGAGAGAGAGGAAGTATGGTGGTGAGACGCCAGGCTGAAGGAGATGAGAAAGTGAAACCAAACAGGAAAGCAGCAGAAGATGACGAGTGAGAAACGAGACGAGTGTGTGAAAGAAGAAAGGAGAAAAAATGTGGTCGAGGCGGGAGGTGGAGAGTGAGACGATGAAAGAAAGATATAGAGGCGCAGGAGGTGGGGGAAAGCTCTCAAGAACACGAGCAGCTTTTTGGCAGCGGGAGTGAATTAGAGGGTGTACATCACAGGAGCACAGCGAAAGAGGGAAGAGGGAAGATGAGGAGAAACATGACAGCGAACTACCTGAAGCATCCATCGAAAAGTGATTTAACTTCATTGATACACACGTTTACTTGATGAACACTAGATGTGCTTTAAAAAAGGACATTTTTGAGTCAAAATGAGAAGGAAAAAAAGCCGTTAAAACTTAAGGAAGGCATCTAACCCTTTCCAAAACACACAGTCTAACCCCCCTGCTGTGAGTTTGTGAAAGCATATAAGCCAGCGTTTCGGCCAGAAACGGAACGCCCTGAACTCGAGCCGCCGGGGTCCAAAAATATTAATAATTCGAGAGAAGATCGAGAGTTTTTATCGCTTGACATAACGAAAACGAAAAAGGATAAGGACATCCCTCTGTGGGAGGGGCAAAGTAGTCTGGTGGGGTTCTTTTCGGAGTATTGAAGATCGTTTTCCCCG